CTCCTGTGTCAAGCACAAACCCCGTTAGCGTTCATTTGTTGGCTTTGCATCTGAACAGCCCTTTTCCTCATACATGCCACTACAACCTACCCTACAAATGACACCCCACTTGTTAATCTGACCTCTGTATGGGGGGACCAGTCTCCCAAGTGCACCTTTCCTCCAAGTCCTTAGGCTGCTTTACAAATCAAGGTTCCATTGAGGCAAGTAATATGCCCTGCCACAGCACATATCCAGAAAATGGGAAAAATGCTTCACTAAATTCCAAACTCTCTTCTGCTCTCAAAACCAAATAAAAGAAACACCTATACCTGACCACCCAGAGAGAAAGGCATATTTTGCCTCCTCTCAGGGCCTAGGTCACTCAATTCATGCTTTAAAATAAACCATATTAATTATTATTTTTAGAGTTGGTTATTTCCATTGACACCTTTGTGCCCTTGCCTGACTCTGATCTAGTGGCACTCAAATACACCAATGAAATCCCCTCACCCTTTTTTGCTAGTGTACTCCACTCTGACCACAGAAAACAAGTACTAACCTGGGTTCTGTCTGTCTCTCTTCTCCCCACCTGCAGGTCCAGCCCATTCTCCAGGAGCTCCTCCCACTTGGGGCCTGCATGATGTGGCTTCCTGTGCCTCCTCTCTCTATATATGCAGGGGCCCACACATGCAGTGAGACAGGGGTTCTTGTCCCACATTCAGGAAGAATTAGAGTCACAGACACAGAGTAGGTATAGCAAAGCAGGGAGTTTATTAATAGAGAGGGAAAAACAAACAAACAAACAAACAAAACCCAAAGCTCCTGAGAAGGGAAAGGACCCCAGAAAATGAGTTGCCAAGAAAGGACTGTGGCAAGGGGTTTTTATTTGGGTCAGGAAGGGCTTTGTCCAGACTTGGTCTAGGTGGAGCTTGTGCATGCATTCCCCTCCTGGTGGGGAGGAGCACATGCTGGATGGGTCCAATTATTCTCTTAATTTTGGAGTGGGTATGAAGGTCAGGAGCTTCTTTGTCTAGAAGCTTTGGGCCATGAAAACCATTATTTTATCTTCTTTCTGGAATGTGGTGGTGCCTGAAAAAATTCTTCGATTTAGGTCGAAGTCATGCTGCCTAGGTCAATCACTGAGCTGCAAGAGGTCTCTCCAAGCAAGCAGTAGAGCTGCTTTGTCTCCATCTCAAAACTTAGCTATTCTGTGATTCTATTTTGGGTCCATACCCTAACTATATTTTTTAGGGTCCCTGTCTCCTACCTCATTAGGACCTGTGAGTGTAACAAATCCTTTAATTCCATATCCTCCTCCCAGTGTGAGTTCTGTGGCCATGAGAGAATTATCCTTATATACCCAAATGGGGACTTGCTCCCTGTGTACAACCCAGGCAGACAGGTCCAGAGGCCCAAACCATCTACAGAAATATTGAAAAGTTACCAGTTAAACCAATAAAGTATTGAAGAGAGTATATTCTCTCCTTCCCCACTCTCAAATATATGTTTGCAAAACAATATAGAAAAGTGTGATTTGATAAATAGTAAAATAAAGACATATATGTAAAAGTTACAAATAAAAGTTTTAAAATAATATAAACATTCCAAATATTTTATTTTTCTTGCCTTCATTTCAGTACACTCATTAAATATGCCATTATTTTGGAAATCTTCACAAAACCTGAACTTTAATGGCAGTAATAATCTAAAAGCACAACTGAAAATAAAATGTAGTTATAATAAAAATGCACTCAATTTGAAAGTTTTCATCAAGATACATGCATTAAGATGAATGTAAAAAATCTGAGTTTTTTATATTTAGAAATTCTATTTTCAAATATTCAAAATGATTCATTATAATTAAAATCAAATTATAATTCATAGTGATTAAACCTTTAAATAAAATGTAAGCAATTAAAATGCTTATTTAAATTTTTGAAATTTTACAAATCTTATTATTTTTATAAAAATTAAATTATTCATGATTCCAGCATTTAATGCTCATATTTTAATTGCCAGTCTAACTAATCAGCATTATATTTATGCAAATTATATCTAAAGACAAATACACACTAAATTAGAGTAAAGTAAATGGGTTGATATTACAAAATATTCTTCAGCCATCGTGTGCAATATTTTCTGTTAGTAATTCTGGAACCATAAATTATAACATTAAGAAAAACAAGGAAACAATCATTAATCTCTACTAGGAAACAAAATTCATAGTAAAAAAAAATTATTGAGCTCCTCTCATCTCAGAGGATTTGACAAGCTAATTAATTTATCTTTTCTCTTTCCTCAATATTTGTGTCACTCGGTTCCTCCTTTCTAAATAGTGTTTCTAAGTAGTGTTTGTCTCTAAGAGTAAGAAGTTTAAACTATCAAAGTGAATCAAGGGAAAATTAAGAGGGGCAAATAGAAATTCTAATGGCTGTCTACATGCTTATTAAGCCATTTGTTCAAAACATTAAAAATTTAGAAGCAGGATCCGCAAAGGTCATGATTCATTCTCTGACCTGAAGGTAATATTGTGCAGTGCAGGGATGTAAACAATAGGCCAGATAGTCCAGAACTGTATTTCTGTAGCACATGGTACAATCATTTTGCTCTTAACTGAAGCCCTCCTAATGCCAGGAAATAGTAACTGACATTGTTTCACATTCAGCTGCTGGCAGCGGCTTCAGAAGGCTCCATTGCTAGTTGATAGAGTTTGAAGCTGGCTATGTGGCACAGTAGTGATGCACTGCTGTGAGAAGCAGAATCCCACAAAGAGATCATGGTTCAAATCCTTGGTCCAGTCAGCCTGAAATACACTGAGTATGAGAGTGAGTGCCCCAGATCTGACCCACTAGAGGACTAGAGGAATGGGATCATGGTATGATTAGACCTGTGAAGGGTGCTCATCTCTCTCTTTCTCTGTTTTGTTTTGTTTTCCTCCCTTGTGTGTGTGCACATACTCTATCTTGAACAGAGAAAAAGAAAAGTTTGTTTTTTAAAAAAATTGCCAGAGAGAGTGTGTACTCACAGGAGAGAGAGAGAATGCCCCCATAGGGGATAGTGACACTGCAGTCCCTTCTCTCTCCTTTCTCCTTTTAAGATTTGGGAAATGCATATACATTTATCTGGGGTGTTTTCAAGCCTCAGTTTCATTCTGTGTCAATGAGATGATAACTTCTTGTTCTTAAAGCCACTGGGAGAACTCAATGATACAATCACTGTAGCATGCCTGATATATACTAGAGTCTCAAAAACTAATAGCAATTAGTATTACCTGGCAAAGAACTATGAAAATTGGCTATACTGAATCCACTCATCAATCTAAGAAATGTGTATTGGTCCTAACATCTGCCTGGCAACTTAGGCAAAGTGCTGAGGATTCGAAGGCTAATGTTTTACATTAGGAGCTTCACATGTGTATGGGGATGCACACATGCATATGAGAGATATGAAAATACAAGTACAAATAATGGAGTAACTCACTTTGCTTGGGAGTTAGGAAAGGCTTTTTGAACAAGGTCATGAATAAGCTAGCAGGATGAGCAAGAATTTGCCAGGAAAGACTGAGCAGGGCATTTGAGACAAAAGATTGCAAAAGCATGGAGTTACGAAAGGGCCTTTTATATCAAGGTAAGTAAAAAGCCAGACAAGGGTGGAGTAACCATGTCAGGCCCCTCAGATGGCTAAATTGAGCACAAAGGACCCAGTTGATATGTTTGAAATCAAATCAGACGTGCCATGTTAATCCTTCAATGGTGTGGCTTTTGTTGAACTTAGAGAAAATCTCATTCCTTTGAGATGTGCCACTTTTGATGAGTTGGTTTAAGAAAGAACTGATCTGGGGCCAGCAGGTGGCATGATGGTGAAGGCAGATGGATTCCCACATGGCCAACCATAGTTCAAGTCCTGGACCTGGTGGCTTGAAAATCACACCAGGTGTGTGTACATGCAAGTCCAAAATCCTAAGGAGAATGAAGAAGGGATAGTGGCATGACCATCCTCCCTGGGGGATGATTTCTCACTTTCCCTCTTTTTCTCTCTCTTATCTGGTGAGTACATGTGCCCTATGGCAAAAATCTAAATAATAATAATAATAATAAATGTTAAAAATTTAAAAACAAGAAAAAAGAAAGGATTAATCAAAACCCCCTGGTATTGCAATGATTTTTTGTTAGTACACACCACTTTTCTTAAAATATACCAAAACTGAGGGTAGAAAGAAACTATTATTTTGGACCAAAACTCGTGACTTCTAGCTTTTCATCCCCCTATAATTTCTGTGATGGGTTGCCCTTTTCACCAGGAACACCCTGGGACATATTCTAAAAATTGCTGTAACCAGGATGCAGGCTTCTCAGTTAATAACAAAACAGTGTTCAACTCCAGAGGCTGAAAGAGAAGATGATAAAAAATTTTTCTGCACAAAATAGATCCACAGATCTTGCAACGTGGTGTATAAACCAACCAGAGCATTTGATTTGACACTAGCGAAGGTAACATGATGGCTAACACGTCAGAAAGAAGAAAAACCTCACAACAGCAGGCAGACCCCCTAGGATGGGCAAAACTTGACAAGCAAATGATCCTATTGTTAGGGATGCTTTCAAATGTCTGCAACAGAGCCAGGGAGGATACTGGCCTTGCTGTTCAAGTGCCATTGTTACTTCCAACACAATCCCACTGAGGTGAGATGGAGGTGGAGGGGAAAATCAGTCCTTAGGCTCTGAGGATAAGCCTTCTAATGGCACAGCAATGAAACCATCCCAGAATAAGCTACTTTCATTTCTAATACCACTGACAACTCTAATAAACCGTGGATTCTTCTATTGCATAGTTTGAAGAATGATTCTATTCCACGGGAAGTTTTATTTACATTCTGTATTTTTCTCTAATAATTTCTCATTTTAATCTTCCAAGATTTCATAGCTGTTTAGGTAAATTCTATGGAAAATGTAAATTTAAAATAACTGAATAGTTTGTTTGTTTTAACAGAAGGAAGCAACTGGTGTTAATTCACTCACCATTCCGTGGTTCAGCCACCCTGGGATAAAATTATCAAGCAACTTTGGGTAGATCATCTCTCTGTCATAGGCATAAATGATCCAGAACATTGCTACGACAAAAACCTCAACAGGAAAGGCCAAGACAGCTAACATCCAGTCCCGGAGAGAGATAGATGAGTTTCTTGAGCTGCCTCTCTTGTTCTTGTTTCCCACTTCCTCTAGTCAGATGCTACGACGAACTGGAAGGGAAAAGAAATCTTTTATTTCAACTTCATCGATTATCCACAACAAAGAATATGTGAGCTATCTATTGTCAAAAGAATTCAACATAATTGGGAATCTGTGATGAGAGGCAGAATTGTAAACTTGCATCAGTGGGTGACTGGGAAGACTGCTCTAGTTTCATCCGATAGCAGCCATGGTTGAGGTACCTTCTCTGGTTTTGATCTCCCAACTGTGCCCTTTCAGGCAAAGGGACTTGTTTCTGAGGGAGGGAGAAGAGGCCTGTCTTCAGGAACAGCTCCATTTAAGAGCTAATCGTGCTGGTTTGATTCTTCTCAAGAGGGTTTAAAAGTTCACTGGTGGTTTTTTTTTCAGGTCCTGTTCTACACTGTACATAGTTAGCACACACTCAGAATGCTGTAGAGTATTCTGTCCCTTTTCCTTGAACCCATCATGTGGTTTAAGTTAATCTTCACATTCTTGAGTTTCCATTTCACCACTAACAGCATTGAAACCACCACTATAAAATGTCCAAAAGTCACATTTCCAGCAAATGTATTAATTTTTACAGTCTAAGCAAAGGCTTTAACTGCACTGAGAAGCAGGGTAGATGAGGAGTAAAGGCAGATTCCTAATTCTCTTGGAAAAACTTAGAAATTCATCTGTTTCCAGAGGTTTGTTTTGGCTCACTCACAACATAATTATCAAGAGAGAGTAGAATGCACAATTTATTATTTTACTGTTCTTCAAACTAATAGTGAGAAAAGAAGTGAAGCCCCAAGATCTTAACCTCCAACACAGAATTTAAAAGAAAAAGTGTATATTTTTGTAATTGTTGAAAAAAACATAGTAGGGAAGAGAACCATGCTGAGGTGTGAGGGGGTCAAAGTTTCTGCAAAGTGATGTCTCAAAATAAGCAATGCTATAGAATGAAAAAATGTATCTGGAATATTAAACAGAGAATTTCTGTTTGTTAATATTTTTATTTATTTTTTAATTTGCCATAGGACATGTGTGCTTGCTGGAGAGAGAGAAAAACAGAGAGGGAAAGTAAGAAGTCACCCTCTCAGGGGAGATGGCCACATCACAGTCTCTTCTTCACAGTCTTGGGATTTTGAGGTATGCACACACAGGAGCCTAGTGTGATTTTTAAGCTGTCAGGCTAGGACTCAAATTGTGGTGGGCCGTGTGGGAGTCAGTGCCTTAACTACCACACTACCTGTTGGCCCTGTTATTTTTATATGTTACCCATTCTCCCACACTTTACTAATAAAAATAATAAACATTCTAATGCAACTGTTAATAAAATGTTTAGTTATATTTGGTAGTGCAAGGCTAGAGGAGAGAAGGGTTCCAAAGTTCTTTGCCAACTATATCTGTTATGACAGAGGTAATTCAGGCCAGGAAAAACAAATTCACCTTGGGGCCAGCAAGTGGTATGGTGGTTAAGGTGCTGGACACTCCCACATGGTCAACCACAGTTTGAGTCCCGGACCTGGTGTGGATTGCTTTCTTACTCGCTCTCTCTCTGTCTCTTTGGTCAAATTAAAATAAATGAATGAATAAATTAAATTAAATACATAATTCTTTAAAAATACAAATTCACCTTTAAAATCTAGGATGTCACACACACTTATTGCTTTATAAAAACATACTGGGTGGTCATTGCAATGAGTGACACACAGAGTTTTAATACTGGATTGGGATCCCCAGGTATTTATCTTGGTTTGGGGTCAAATATTTTCACTGTTCCCTTATAAATGTACAAAATAAGAAAAGAATCTATTGTCTGATTAAGGTTAATGCTCTTATTTTTCCAAGAAGGAGAAAAAAGTTTTCAATTATCTACAATTTTCAATTACTCATACCACTTCAGATTTCTCAATAGTAACCATATAAGACTCATATTTGATAGTTATTTAACTTTTTATTACATTAGCTCTCAACATTATCTCCTTAAAGCAGGCTAGAATATAGATGATTGTATTCTTCCTTTTCTTAAAGTTCTTTTATTTTTTCCAAGAGAGAGAGAGACATAAAAAGAGAGAGGAACAGACAGACAGGCAGCACCATGTCATGATCCACCTCAACCTCAGTCAGCTCAGATCACAGACATGCACGTGTGCCCAGCATGCTCAGGGAGGCCCTGGAATGCAAACCAGGGACCTTCCCATGTGGATCCAGAGGCAGCAGTGCTGTACCACCAGCTAGCTCTGCCATTTTCCTCTCAATGAATAAAGAAATCAAGGCTTTCTTTTCACTTACTTTAATAACATTTCTTTGTTGTCTCTCAAGTAATAAATGGAACTTCACTATAACTTCATTGATTTTTCTGCTAATTTGTGCTGATAATGCAGATAGAATTCTTAATGTACTTTAGTCACTTTTCATGAAGATATAATTTGCTAAGGAAATTAAAAATTTGTTGTGTTTTCATATATAGGCACAATAGTAAAAAGTATGTTAATTGTTTTCCCCTTGAATGACCTTCAAATAGGCAGTTTAGTATAAATCTCCAGAATGGAAGAAGGGTGCAGTATGTTTGAGTGGCTAGAAGTCAGTAAATGGAGAAACACAGGAAATGCCTGAGAAGCAAAGCCAGGAGCAGAAGATTAGGCTCATGAATGTGGATGATGCTTTCCTTCTTTACAGTGGGAAACAAGGACTTTCTCTGACAGTTGGGATCAGCTGAGCATAGAGGGATTTGGGGCACTGCTGTGGATAATGTGCTAGGAAATCAGTAAGCTATTTAAAAGGAGGACCATTGTGAATCAGAATGGCTCAGTTGAAGTTTCAGCTTGATTTGTAGTAAAACCAAGCACAATGTTTTCCAATCTGCCCTGAAGTCTGTGAAAAAGGGAATTTAGAAAGAGGGTGGATTGGTCTGCAGATGGCATAGCGGTTACATCTCTGGACTCCCATATGGCCGACTATGGTTCAAGTCCTGGAATTGGTGGCTTGAAACTAACACTGGGCGTGTGTGTGTACATGTTCAAGATCCCAGGAAGAGAATGGAGGAGAAGGGATTGCGAGGTGACCATCCCCCCTGAGGTTTGATTTCTCTCTCTCTCTCTCTCTCTTGCTCTCTCTCTCCACAACAAGTGCAAGTGCCCTAAGGCAAAACCCCTGAAAAGAAAAAAGAAAGAAAGAAAGAAAAGAAAGTAGAAAAAGAAGATCCTGGGGTCTTCCTACCACTGCAGATTAGGAAATAAGGACTTTGAAGATTTGAAATGAGGGATGCTATGAGATCAGGAAGAACATCTTTTAAGTGGCTAACCAATATTTTTAAGTTTTACCTCGGAAGGACTGGTTGCCAGTGAATTACATGAGATATCATGAATATAGCAACTAGTGACATATAGTGAACACGTTAATTAAAGGTTAGCCCTTCTCAGGGCCAGTCCTGTGGCCTAGTGGTTAAGAGAACCAGATCCCAGGATCAGCAGATGGCATAATGATTATATTGCTGGACTCCTATATAGTTGACCACAGTTTGAGTCCTGGACCTGGCAGCTTAAAACACAAACTGTGAATGCGTGCCTAAAATTCCAAGAGGAGAAGGGATTGTGGCATGGTCATCCCCCAGGGGGGATTTCTCACTTTCTATCTCTCTGGCTCTCTTTTTGTCTCTTTGGTGAGTGCATTCACTCTATAGCAAAAGTCTTTGGACAAAAAAAGGGGCCACCACTCCCACATGGTCAACAGAACAGTTCAAATCCTGGCCCTGATTGCTTAAAACACATGCTGAATGTGTGTGCATGTGTGCATGTGTACATGCTTAAAATCCTGACAGGATGAAGCAATAGAGGAGGAAGGGCTGCAGTATGACCACGCCCCTTTAAGGATGTTTCCTCTTCATCCCCTCCCTCTCCCTCTCTCTGTCTCTCTCTGGCTAGTACATGTGTCCTCTGGTACAAAATATAATAAAGTAAATAAAATTCCTTCCTGTTCTCACTTTCTTTTAACCACATAGATTTGATACTTCTAAGAGACAACAGTCCAATTAGGGCTGATCGCATGGCCCTGTGCCAGGGACTTGCTACTGGGCTTCATGCCCTTAGACCTGGGTCTAACATTTTAAAGTCTTGTTATTCAACATGTGGTTCCATATATCAACAGCACCTACAGCACCTAAGAGCTTCTTAAGGACACTGAATCCCAGGTCTCACCCTGATAGGTTTGAATCTTGCATTTTATTTTTAAGTTTTTTGAGAGGTTTTTGTCTTAGGGCATGTGCGCTCACTAGAGAGAGAGACAGAGACAGAGACAGGAAGAAGGAAAGTGACAAATCACCTCCAAGGGGATGTCATATCACAATCCCTTCTCTTCCATTCTTCTGAGATCTTGGGTATACATGCACACATGCACAGCATGAGTTTCAAGTTATCAGGTCCAGGACTCGAACCATGGTAGATTATGTGGGAGCCCAGTGACTGAACAGCTACACCATCTGCTGGTCCCAGATCTTGCATTATAATAAGATCCTGAGTCATTCTTATGCACTTAGAAGTTTGAGATGGCCCGCTTTGGAATCTCCTACTTCAGCCACCTTTGCCTCCTCCCTTTCCATGAATGAGGAGATCCAGGGGCCTAGTGGCTTATCTACCCAGAGACCACATCCCTCCCATGCCCCGGGTAACTGTGAAGCTAAATTCCTTTCCTAAATAGACATGAGTATGTTTGGGTCTCCTGCCCTGATCCGATTGCAAGGGTGGATTGTGAACAGTGCAATAAATGTGTGCTTGCCTTGACAATAGAAGTAGTAAGATATGAGACCAGCAGATACCGTAATGGTTATGTTGCTGGACTCCCACATGATGGACCACAGTTCGAGTGCCATACCTGGTGGCTTAAAAGTCATACCAGGTGTGGATGCTTGCATGCTCAAAACCCTGAGAGGG